CAGCTTGTAGAAGTGTAACAATTTTTAACTGTGGAGTTGTGATTCTGCCTTTTACTGGATATCTAAAATACAAGAACCGATTTTTTTACATAAAATGGTAGATAGTTGTGATAATAATATTGTGGGACACGTTATCACTGCGTGCGTCATCGTATGCCTGCATGTCTGCTCGCCAGGATTGGGAGGTGCGGTCGTACAACTCTGTGTGCAGCGACCGTACAAACAGTGACCAATCATTAACCTCTATTTAACCTAATTCCCCATCCTGATCATGATTAAGCTCCCTGTGTGTACACGTTATCCGCAATATACATCCTGAATAAACGTGCTCCGTGCTACACGTCTGTTTCCTTTATAGCTGGATTATAGCTTAGCTGGTTCTGTGAGTCTAGCTAGGTGTTGGGGAATCTGCCATAGAGATTTCTAAGTCAGTCAGGCTTTACTTAGGGCCGCCATAGAGATTTCTGAGTCAGTCAGGCTTTACTAAGGCAGCAATCCGCTACAATATAAACTTCAAAGACTCAATGACTAATTTTCTAGATATCTGTTGTTCATTTCAAATAAAAATCCTCACGAGAATGGCAGATATCTTAAAATTTCTAGGGTAAAGGAAGACAGCTAATAAATGATAAAGTTTAACACAAGAAGTGATTCAATCACATGGGGTGAAGGGATATCACCAATAGTAGATGTATAGGAAATAAATTAGAAATCTCATCTCGCAGAAACCTTAGCCAATCAGCAATTGTGTTCATGAAACTCAGTTTAACATTGATTGTATTAAATGAATAATCATGTTTGAATAAATATGAATACCTAAACATGTAGGTAATCAATGCTTTCCCCGGCATACTTCCGTTTCCTGTTTGCTAAGTTGGGGAGCGACCTCATAGGTGGTTTTGCAAGAGGGGTTTGGCGAAGTTTATTTGTATGGAATCCGTTACAATAGCCAAAACAATCAATAACACTTGACAAATCTACAGAAGTTATGTAATGGATTTCACTGTTAAGAATGATATTATTAATAATGTGCCCACCTAATCTGAATTGGCGAGCAGATGTCATTCAATTTACGTAAGTCATATCAACAAATCCTAGTTATTTCCCAATTTTATAACTTCAAAGAATATAATTGGGAGGTTCCAGAAAGGAATATGAATTCAAAACTAGTCAATATAACTTTTAAAAATCGTTTTTAGTTTTGGTACATCGAAAAGTTAAAATGGACCAAGCAATACATTAAGCAGGCATAATTATTATTTCACCAACCTTAATTTTTTTACACCAGTGGATTTATTGATACTATTTAAAGCACTTTTCTCTTGATTCCGAATTGAAAACTCATTCATTTCGACGCTACCAGCGATAAAATATATCTAAATAAGAAAATTAAATTAACCGAAAGCAACTTACTAAATCCTCAAGAACTTCAGAGCCAGTTAGCCTGAGAAATGACTCCACAGTAACAGCCGAAAGAAAATGTTCACACATTATTTGTCCAATTACTAGGTTTAAAGAGTTAAATAATAAATTAAAAATATAAATTTACTAGTAGATTCTATAGATCGATCAATATCAGATATTGTCACAGCTCCAACAGATATCAATTTGTTCAATGCATCTCTGCAAAGATCTTTCCAAAAATTAGTTACGACATTCAAGAAAGACCAACCTTCTGACTCTGACCCAGTTCTAAGTCTTTGAAACCCATAAAAAGTTGGATTTTTTGGCAGACGAATGGATAAATAAGAGCGTGATATCCACTGTAACATTTCATCAAAAGAACGAATCCGATTCAAGGCAATCTCTACGTTGAGAAGGTCTGTCAAACAAACATGAAGACTGCTTTCCACATTCTCAGAGTCCTCTAGCCAGTGTTCATAACGCTCCTACGAGCAATGAAGCTATTAGTTACTAGTACCGTACCTGCTTGTCAGCTGTTGTCATTATGACGGCCGTGGCAGAAGTGTCGAACTGAAATATTGAAAATGAATATAATTAGTTTAGGCATACCTGAGGTCGACCAGCACGTCCAATCATTTGAATAATCTGTCTACTGGTATATTCTTGTGTAGTTCCTTCCACATAAAGCGAAGTATTTTTAATGATAACCAAATGAGCGGGAAGATTTATCCCCATAGAAAGTGTGCTTGTTGACACTAAATTATAAAGTTGACTAAAGGGGACAATCTTACCTAATACAGGAATATGACCTTCGATAAATGATTCCTCAATTAATCGGCGGTCGACTGGATCCACTCCTGCATGGTGGAAACCAACCCCTCTGCTCAAGCAATCTGAAGATTCGAACTGTCACTTTAATGTGATACCAATATTAATTAAGTGGATATGGACAAATAAACACCTCTTAACAAATCATTGGATATTCGTTCAATTAATTCCTGAGGAACACTATTTGAACTAAGGTTTCCTCTTGCTAAAAATTCTGCAGTATTTTCGGTTGTTTTTCTAGTTATGCTAAACTGATTTTGGATAAATCAAATGTATTTTTGAAGTCCTACTATTAGCGTAGGTCGACCCAGGGAATGGGTAGAAATTACTGGCAAAATTTTCTTTGTAAGGAATTGATCAAATTGAAATAGTGAACTTTGTGGAGATTTTTTGTAGCCCAGTATGATTTTCTTGATAGGAACTGGGCGGAATTGGGATCCAAAACTAAATACTAAATTAAGAATATTCCTTAATACCTTCTACACAAGCATTTCCGACTATTTTTCGAAAGCCATTGCGCTATCTTTCATATAAAACATTATAAAATTTTGGTGCTCTTACATCCGATATATTGGAACACGTAGCCGACACAGCAATGACTCGGGGACTATATACTATCAATCGTGTTAGAACCGCCTCCAAGCAAGCTCCTCTCGGTTGTTCCGAAACCGTATGAATCTTAAGGATGGAAGTGAAAATAAGAGTAAGCAAACCTCATCCACCATTAGAAGACTAATGCGGGAAACGAACTCTCGCATCGATTCAAGTGACCGCTGTAAACTATCAATTTTCTCTGGAGTAGCAATTAGAATAGTATGTCTTGACAGATCTTTAATTTCGTAAAAGGGGGAATCAGAGGTGAGTTCAAGACATAAAAGCCCCTTCGATTCTAATTTGCCCTGCCATTCAAACATTCGTTCAGAACAAAGCGATTTGAGAGGAGCCACTAAAAATTTCAATGATGTCAAAAGGAATTATTACAATATAATGCGAAGGGCTTGCATTCATCGGAACATCTTTCATAAAATGATAGAAATTTGCAGATTGCTAACTCAAAAAGCACAGTCTTTCCACTTCCCGTTGGAGCTGATATTGCGTAAGAATTTTCCGTTTGGAGAATCTATATTCACTGTAATAAAGTGGTTATTAATAATTACTTCTGATGCCATTTCCGCCTGCATACTGTTGAGTGATGGGAAATTGATGATATCACGGTACCGGGGAGGTACATTTGTTAAGGATAAAAGATAAGTGCTTTGGAGCCATCAAGTGTGTTAAGATATTTTCAAAAATTGTATCTCATAAGACAACTTGTAAGAAGGTTGTCATTCAAATAACAAAGTTAATACAAATATTTGTTAAAAATACAACAAAGAATAATTTAAAATTGCAAAAGGATATAGATGTTGGCTAACAAGTCGCTACATTCCATTTCTCTGCGATATTCTATTATGTACTTTAAAACAATTTTCGATGTTCGATAAAACAAATTTTAATGAATAAAATTCAGAATTCATTAAAACTTAAAAAATTGTCCGAAATTCTGATGAACCACTTTTTTTTGCAGTCTTTGTCAAGAATTAACTTTTTACAAGGGAACATTAATAAAATTTTAACATTCATGAACCGAACACTAAACAAAATACTTCATAATCTCCAATTAAAGTACTTATTATACCTGATAAATTTATGTTATTTGAGACATTAAAAAGAGTTTTTATATCATGCATTTTAAATAATTCATAGGACCATAAAGTTTTGAGCGAAAAGTTACTTGTGGAGTATGAACATTGTTCAATGAAAATAAATTTGGTGATAAAAGAAAATTTAATATAAAATTAGATTATAATTTCATTTGTGTTCGAATTTCATTTTAATTTGGATATTGCGGCTATCGAGCAGAAATATGGTCACATGTAAAATACATTTTATTCAGATTAAAGACTATTAACTTTCCATTACGGCTTCTATTAAGTTTATTTTAAAGAAAATTTATAAATTGTAGTTTATTTTATAATTTAGATGATGAGTGTTTGTTTACCGTTAATTTATTTTATTTTGAATAACTTTCAACTTTATCTGAACTCCATTGACTCAGCGGATTTTACGCTAGTTCTCTTCGTCGCCTTTTGTCTTGTGGTTACTTGCCGTACTTGTTTATTTTGTCTAATTTAGTTTCTACCGAGTCTTCAAATGGAATCTGCTACTAAGTCAAGCAACATAGTGTATACAAAAGATGAATTGCTCGAAATTCGGGAGGCATTTATGGCTGTTTGTGACCCTAGTAAATATCCTGTAAGATTAATTCAATTGTTTAAAGGTTTTTAATTCCTTTTGATTACATTATTCATTATGCAAGGTTGTAAAATTTTCCAAATGTACACATTTAATCAATTTTGAATTTTTTGAATGATCTGTTAACTTATTTCAATTTGTCACGCCTTTTTTATGCCACCTTGAACTTTAATTTCTATAAATTGATGTTTATTCTTCTGATACCTTGTTTTACCTACCTTAGATTATTAATTCCGTGATATCTCGTGATCCTGAGAAGCGCCCCAATTTCCGTAAGCATAAGCCTACTGGGGACGGGATTACCATTCCTAATCTTACACCGAGAAGGAATGAGCATTATGCGGGGTAAATGCGTTTGAACTGCTTACATCTTGCTATCCTTCCAAATAATCTATTGCCATATACAATTTCCTGCCGAATTAAAGGTCTTATGAAACGAATGGTGAAGGCTCATTTCCGCATTCTGCCGGCTGGAGACGAACACGTCGCACATCTGGTACCTCTGTTCCACAATCTCCTCTTGACGCTCACAGTGCTCATCGAAATAACTCAGGTAGTTCGAATAGTGAGGAGAATGGAAATAACTCGGTGACCGAAGGTGGTGGGCAGTTTCGAAGGGAATTTGATTGGACATTAGGTTGTGGCAAATGGAGGCATCGGTCTACTAGCGGCTCGGAAAGATTGGGTCATAAGGTAACTTTTTCAATAATTTCCACTCTTATATTTCTTTTCATTAATCCGTTTTTAAGCATTAATTGGACATGTTCTTAAAAACATTTTTTTCTATCAGGTTTTATTTTGTACTCTATGTTTTAGTCATTTAATTTATATTTTATTCAGTTTTATCATGGCTATTTACTGTGGGAGGACTTCTTGACATTCTTTTTTTATCGAGATAAAAACTATTTAAGCTTTTTCATCGCCTTTAGCATGGACATTCATTATATTTTACAGAAAAATTTTCTTCCTTTTGTGAAGTTTATTTTATAATTTCCTTTTTATGGTTATGTTGCAGGTCTTTTTCATAACTAACATTCATATTCTCTGCGTTTGTTTTATATTACTATTCTTTGTTGCGTTGGTCATCTCATAGAAAATACCCCATTTTTTATTTTGCTTTAGCGTGATTTCGTTATTTTTGGACATGGAATAAATTATTCTCCCTCATGCTCCGTTTGCGATGTGGTGCTTACGAAATTTATTGATATTTAGTTTGAATAATCATTTTAGTCTTTGATTGCGTCATATTGTTATATATGTATCCCTATTTGAAATTGGTTCTCCACTTCCTACCTTTTTACCTTTTATATTTTTATTCTATTTGATGGATTGTGTGTGTGTGTGTGTGTGTGCTAATGTCTAGTGATAATTTCTAGTCTAGTATTTAGAAAACTTATTTGTACGTTATGGGGCGTGGATCTGCGGTTAATGTTCACGTCTGAGCTGTCAAAGGTTGCGGAACTACTCTTATCGATTCTCAACCAGTGATGTAGTTTAATGTGATTCGTGAACTTATCATAAGATTTGTCCGAAGTCATCTTCCCACTTACCATAATGAGCTGAGGCTTCGTTTTAGACTTGCAAACTAGCTAATATTCTAGTTTGGGTTTGCTCAATATTTAAGGTACTAGTTTACCTCAAATGCTCTATAATGAATACTTGTTGATAACTGTACTTGCCTCTGAGGAAAGTTAGTAATTTCACATTTAAAATAGCAAATATGTTAACTTATTTTCTACATCATTAGCGTAAATGCGCTTTGTTTTAACGTTATAACAGCCAAATTCTATCCATTTTATGCGAGCATTTTCTATACTTGAGGTTTGGTACGCCCCAGTTAGGTTCTTAATATTTAGACACTCAATTCTCATTTTTTACTCCCATGTTGTTTTAGGGGCTAAATTTTTGTTAATTCTTTGTTTTCCTAGATCCTGGTTTTTGATTTACTCGGTTAGGTGATTTCACCTCCACTTCCGGCATTCTTGTGATCTGTTAACTTGTAACATTTTGAGGTAGTAAAGAAATTTTTGTTTTTGGTTTCTAAAAGTAATCTAATTTTGCATTATCCACCTGTGTTCACAAAGTTTTGCTTTCTTTTATTGAAGGGTTTGTAAACGTCGCTTTTCATACCCATTTCGTGAAATTGAAGGACAGTTTCACTATTTGCTACTTGAAGTATCGTTGCATTGGGTGACCATTTAAAATAGTGTTTAGCTATTTTGCATCATCAGTCTGTTTTGAACATGGAGGTAAATACGTTGATAAAAGGGCAATACCATTTATTCTTTATAAATACTTTTTGCTTCCAATTCATTTTGCGTAAACGCGAAATAGTAGCTGTCTCGCTCATTTATTACTTCACATTCAAAACGAGATTTCAGCTATTATCATTGATGTTACCACTTTCTTCCCAGGCTATATTCTTGAATTTTATCCAAATTGATGTGTTGAATAACTTGACCCCTTATTATTTTCCAGTTATTTATATGCGTTTGTTTGTTAATCGTCTTACACATTGATAGCATATCAGTAAAAATTATTTCTCTTCACTTTAAAGGGTGGGTTTTTTGTGAGTGCTGGTCGTGGTCGTGGACGCGGTGGTGGTAATGGAGTTGGCGGTAATGATGGCAATGGTGGGGGTTTTACAGGTCCCCCAAGGGGTAGGGGTTTTATGCGTCGACCTTTCCAACATGGTACTCCTGGACCTTCCCGGGGTGGTGCTCGTGGCGGTTTAAAACATACACCCTTCAACAACCTTGGCGTAAGTTCCTGTGTCAATTTTTCACTCTAATGGCCCTTATTTTATAACAATAAATTTCTTTTGTTCTTAAAGTTTATGTACATAACTTTAGTGCATTCCAACTTGGAGAAGTATGAACTTAATGTTCTCAGTATAGATATTGCAGGGCATTTAGTCATTATGGTTTTGTGTTTTCTCATCCAATCATAAATTAATTAAAATTGCCCAAAATTCGATATTTTCTCTTCATTTTTTGACTTTTCTTCTCTCTTCTATAAAACCCAAAGGCTGATTAGTTGAGATTTTATAAAGTTAGGACTATCGGAAGACGTTCCGATTGTAGAATTTTAACCACATTTTACATAAACCAATGCATTTGTTCCTTGATGGTCTTTGCTTGTTTTTAGTAGAGTGCAGATGGATGCATAATTTTGCAGTTTCTTTCTATCAAAGCATTTTCTACTGTTTTTTCTTACTACCCGTAAAGTCCTGTGTCTGCGTTCCAGATCTTCGCTGTTTGCCTGAGTTTATCGTCTCGTAGGAATGGATGGATAAATACTTCCAATTTTGTGCAATCCTACTCCTGTATAATTTAAGGTTGTCGTATTAAAATTAAGTAATCTTAAGTTTTCAAACGTTTGATACGTTCTTTCTCATTTTTATCCATTATCGTGTGCCATAAACCTCGTGTAGAGGAAATGCCAATATGATAATGCCAGAAATCGACTAATGTCAGGTTTTAACGTTAGGTCAAGGAGTCTATGCTAATGATGCCATACTTCATTTCGTTGATTTCGAACTTGAATTCATTGTCCAATTTACACTTGGCAGCGGATTCATTTTTTTATAAATGCGCCCCTAATTGCCTTGTTTATTAGTCATTAGCTCATTTTTAAGTATTTAGAATTCAAGGTTTGCTCTCACTTTTGCCCACTTTTATCAATATTTCTGTAGCACCAGTGGAATGTAGCTTTCTTCAATTTATTGAGTTCTTGGTTCTTCTCTTCTACTTGAAATTGAAAATGATACCTAGACGTTTTTTGTATCATTCGAGATGTACCCATGCATAGTACTTGCCCATGGTTTCCGCAAAGTTTCCTCTTGGTTTTTTTGTATTTTCATTTTATGTCTCTAGCTCTCTTGTAATCCAGTGGTTTTGTTTACCTGGGAATTCCTATTTCTAGCTTGACAAAACTTTCTTCTGACTGCTAATTCCTGTCTCCTAAGACTGAATTCTCTTGCTCATGTGCTTCAAGAGTTCATACAACCCCATCTTAATTGTCAATTCATATTTGACAATTTCTGCTGTTAGTCTGAATCAGTTTGAGTTGGCCTCGTCATTGTGCTAATACTCTGGTATGATCTTATTTCAATCTGCATCTTAGGTAGGGCATTGAAGTAATTATATCCACTAAACTCTTATCAATTTCCTTGGACCCTCTTTTTTGCCATGTGGGAGATTGCCCTTTGTTATTGGAATTATCACTTCAACATCTATCTTGAACAGAGGTGAATAATTGATTTAAGAACCTTCCTTAGTTCATACGTTACTGTGAAAGTTAATAGTGTGAAGTAGTTTTAGTGGTGGCTTTCTATTCGGTCTCTGCGTTCCTCCCCCTATTACATTCTGAGATCACGTTGGCCTAGCATTTGCCAGTCCACTTAATTTGCTGGATAAGGTGTATTGGTTATTTACGATTTATTTTCTTTCGATATTTAATTAAGGGTGCTTTGTGGTACTTGAACCTTGCATTTACTCTACTACGCACTCATTAATTTAGTCACTAGTCAATATCTCATCCCAAGCCAAATCACACAATTGAATGTTATATTTACTCCAAAATTCATCGAAATGATCGTGTCCGTTATATCTTGTGCTTATGGTCAGTAGCTTGAATTTGTTCTCCCCCGGTTAGTTATATCACTTCCATTTATATTCTGTTGAATGCGAGTTGCGCCTGATAAGAGAAAGTAGTGGAGTTTTAATGATTTCGAGTGGTGGTGCCATCTCTGTTATGTGCTAAAATTTGAATTAGTGCAAATGGAGTCTTTCTAGTTGTACTAATTTATTTCAACTTAAGGTCCATCAAACTCGCCTCGCACAGTGGGTAAAAGAAATCGAAATTCACAAAATCTCAACCAAAGATCAATGATAAAAGAATGCTATTCTAAATAGGCTTGGAAGTTAGATGTTTATTGCAATACAATATAACAGATAATTTTTTAAAATTCCTTTCATTGAGGTGATATCTGAATTACCTTTACTATTTCCCAATTAGCCGGATCACGGTCCAAAGGAAGAGGATTTTGAACCGCAGGACGAACAGCATCTCCAGCAATACCAGCATTTCCCTCCTCACTCACAGCATCAATTCCATCGTCATGATGCTAGAGGCCCATGTGATGGAGGCCAGCTGGATCAGGAGAAACAAGAGGAGGTTCCGCCATCTTTGGACAATCATTCACAACTGCAAGCCTCGGTGTCGAACAGGCCGTCTGAACAGGTTGGTTTTGTATTACACTGTATGCCTGTTTGAGTTAATTAGATTTATTTTAATATCCTATTTTTTTTATTAACTGAAGGGCTTTTGGCGACTATCACTTCAGCTAGGCAAACTTGTTTTGTTAATCCGTTAATGTAACAATTAAGGGGAAGTGTCTAGAAACTCTTGACTCTTTAGGTGAATAATTAGTCTGATTGTCCATCCCTATCGTTGGCTATACACCGTTGGTCACCGATATCGGGACAGTTGACTAGACAGATATTGTTGTTTTGAATTGTTCCAAGTACCCCTAAAGACTTCGTCAGTAATAGCGCAGCATATATATGACTTGAATTAAATTTACACCGAGTTAACTGCACATCGGTCAATCACTTTTACTATGCTATGGAATGAGGTCACTGTGGCCAATAAGGTGGATGGGGCATATCCTGAAATGAATGTTATTATGTGGACACACTTGGGATAATTGACATATGATTAGGTCTGCAATAAATCATTGCCTTTACACCACTACAGTTATGATCGCTCATCACGGAGTCACCGGAACGCTTTACAGATGGTAGCTTCAATTTTCATGGTATGAATAGATTTGAAGTTCATTGATCTCTGTATATTATAGGCATATTTATTGTTTTGGTATTAATCTGTAGTCCTCCTCCTCTGGATATTTCGAGCATTGATCCTAATTTAATTCTGATAGATCAAATCTCATTAACGCCTTCTCATGTTTTCCGCCATATTTCCTAGGAGTCGACAAATTGAAGCGATTTTAGTGATACGAAATGTGTCTTAGTGAAGTTCGATATCCTCAGCATTCGCATCTAGTCATGTTGGCGGAACCGTCCCTAGAATTTGCAGTGGCACTTTTGGTTAGTTTTTCATCTTCCTTCTAGTCACCACTACAATTATCTTCCAAGTCTTTTTTAGGTTAGTTCTCTTCTACCTGAAAATTAACTTTAATTTGGTTTTTGCGTTCTAGTGTATAAGTTCTTCGAAACACATTAATCATCTTAGGTCATCTTCGTTGACTTATTAGTAAGTCACAAGTATCCTGAATCACCAAGACCCCTTATAATGCATATTTCCCAGGTTAAAATAAAAAACACTGCTTGCTTTGAATGTGCGTTTAGTTTAAAAGGTGCTGTGAGTACGTATTTTCTAGCACGTTTGGATCACAGTAGACTCTGAATCGTCTCTAACGAGGATCTCGGTTTATGTCAGATGTAGGAAAATTTTCATAACTAAAAACAAACACATCGATAGCTTTAACATGCCTATTAATAAGCTTATATTCGAATTATTCCACAGCTCACGTGGAAAAGACGGCCAGTGGGAAGTAACAATATCTACTATGTAAGTAACGTTGTACTATTAATAGAAGCTCTTCACTGGTATATTTCAGCATCGGGTAAGTTTAGATTGTACCAGCATTTGTAGTGAAATAGATGTTTCTATGTAGAAGGCCTTTTCTTGTTTTCGTTGCGTTTACTGTCATTTTATAATAAATATACTTTTTGCATTGAACTCGTAGGTTCATGAGCACACCCCTCAATTTAATTCTCCACTACATCACGCACCGGACATATCAACTAGCAATCCTACCGAGACTGCAACTACTAATGCACCAAGTGGTGCTGGTTACACTTTTGTGTCCTCTAATTCCCCACCCCTACCTCCACACCTCTTAAAACCCCAGTCGTCGTCGCATGTTCAGACTGGTCTCAATGAGACTCAGGCCCCTCATCCAACTATGTGGTATTATTACGATCCTCATAACAACATTCGCGGTCCCTTCAATGATGCTACCATGGGAGCATGGTATGAGGCCGGGTATTTCAAATCGGGTATTGAGATGCGAAGGGAATGCGATAAGGTCTTTTCCAAATTGAGTAAGTTTTGTTCTTCAGGTTATCAGCTCTAGTTTTATAATTATTCAATAAGCGCTACACTCCCTCGCTATCCAAATACCTGTGACGAGTCAGTTACCTCAGGGCTAATTTTTGTCTGCTCCGGTTAGATAATCTGGAGAGGGATTTAATAAGTATGCTTCACGACTATAATGAAGAAACATGCCTGAAGATGCTTTTCTGACAGTTTTAGTAGACAACCAATAGTAATTGTTTAAGCATGGGATTGTTGTCTATTCAATTTCAATTCAATAGCGAGTTCACCCTCAAATTGGTTAAGTAGATCATGAACGGCTCTGGCTTCCAAATAGTAGGTTTATGGAAAGAATTGGAAATTAAATCTTTACTTCCTTTTATGAGGGAGAGGGGGGAGTACGGCGATCGTACTTACTGGTTTCTTATTAAATTGCATTCCAATGTCCATGACGAGTGTGAGCAGACGGGCACTTTGGTATTCTTTATGCTTTCTTCCACATAAGATCAATCTTAAGAAGTATTTCATCAATTTTAAATATTATACGCTATTACACCTTCTTGACCCATATCCTCGCTCGTGACTGAAAATGTGTCTACATGTGCATTCAGGTCATCTGAGCAGTGATGCAATATGTCAACGCCAACAACGCCGTTGCCATAGCATTCGGGCATTTTGCGCATAAACTAGATTCGCGATCATTACCATTAATGTGTATTTAGTTGACAAAGAAATTATTGAGTTCATTTCCATTTCCATAATGAAAAATTAATCATTTCTTTATTTATAGGCAGCATGGGTAATATTGTTAATAATGATATTTGCAATAGAAATTTGAACTAGTGAAGTGGGTAAGAGTTTCTCTAGAAGTACTTTCATATAATGGGGCTATTGGGTTTGTTTTGGAGCTATTTCCCACTAGACTCAAAAGGGAATTGCTGAATTTGAGTGTTATTTTAATAAATATTTTTCCAAATTCATGAGGCATTAATGTATGCATTTAAGGCTAATCACTTGCGTGAGGTAATTGACGGAAGTGGCTCAAAATTTCTTTCATGCGCCTATCTTAGCAAGTACCAGATTCGGGGAAATTGGTACGAGTTCTTTGGGAGTGAAGGGGAGCGAATTGGAAGAAATAAGAGTGGCCTTTCGGGTTGAGAAAATATAATGTAACGAGCCACATTTCTTCTTTAGGCGAATACGAAAGCAGACTTGGTGGCCATCCATTCATAAATTCGAGAAGTCTCGCCCCGATTGAAAATCCACTGCCAAACTCCGCAACCCTCCAATCCCAACACCAGCCAATGATTAATCCCCTCGGAAACATACTCTCTTCGCCACTTTCTGGCATGATCGCAGGTGGCCTCCCAATTTCCATGGATTTACTTCGTCCGCCGATTTTAACTCAACAACACCAAACAATGCGATCTCCTCAACAAGCTTCGTCGCCATCAATGCAAGATCCTACATCGGTTAGTTTTAATTTGCACATTTTATATTTGCGCCGGTGCTTCGTCTTATCTGTTTTTTCCGGGCCTTTTGATTATGCCTCCATGCATCTATATATTGTGTATAATAAATTCTTTTAGTGGTTTTGCAATTCGTTCACAAATTTGGTAAGTCTAGCATTAGTTCTCTTATGGAGAGCTCACTTTTTTTGTTAGTTTGATTGCATTTGTCTTTACACTTTTGGTTTGCCTGGAAGCATGTTAATTAGGTTTGATTTTGTGAAAATGCTATAAATATAATGCTCAAGTTTCATGAACTACTTAGATTTGAATGTCCTAGCCGTTTAAAACAGGGCTATTCGATGTATTACTTTCGTATTGTTTGTTGCTAGGCCTCAAAGACGCTGCTCGATTTGGCCAGTATGAGTCAAATGACGCTAATGGATATGCTGCGCTTGAGGCAGATCGCTCAACTTGCGGCTAACTCCTCTAGTCAACCATCTGGGTCCGTAATAGACGGGAAAAATATTGCTGATGCTCTCGCTGCACTCAATATTGGTCTTTCTGTCAATCCAACTCCTCAACCACCTCCACAACCAGCTAGTCTCCCTCCAAATGTCATCGATTTGCAGCAGCTAGAGGCAGCTATTCACCGAAAACAACAGGAGGAGGAAGAGGCGCAAAAACGTGCAGGTGCAGAAGGAGATGGGGCTCGCCAATGCCAAGACCAAGAGCTTGAAGCTGCTAAGCTCACTGAAGTTGAAAAAGATCCGATAGAGAAAGAGATTACTGCTCCTCAGCTACAAAAGAAACGAAAGGAAAAGGCCAAGAGGGTTGTTTCTGCTCAGGAGGAACAGCAAAAGCCCGGAGAAGAGCCAAAACAAACCATGGCACCGGTTGTTGAACAGGAGCAGCAACCGATTGTGGCAACGACATCTAGTGCATCTAAAAAGAAGAAGAGGAAGTCTAAGAATGCTGGTGGTGGTACTGCAGCTGAGACTAAACCAGATGAGATAGAAAAAATTACGGCTGTTAATACTGATTTTATTGAACCCGAGGATGGCTGGGTTGCTGTGCCTCCCTCGGGTTCAACATTCACTCCTCAACCAGTGCCACAGAATGCCACTCTTTGGCATCAGCAGGAGAACACTACTAGAAAGTCAAAGAGGAAAAAAGGAAAGTGAGTTACTATGCCTTTAATCGGTTTATAAATGTGAAATTTAGCTTTTGTGTGATGTTGAGCTGCTTTCTAGTTCTGAAGACTGCTATTAGCATTTAGCTCATATTCTACCATCCCTTTTTGCATCGATCTTATCGGATATACCCCCCTTGAGTGTTGAACTCAGGACATGTTACTCATTGATATTATCAATTTGTTTAATATTATAGTGATTTTATGAAGGCTGCAAGTTGACCTTATTTCAAATGCATTCAAAACTTAACGCAATTGTATCGAACCTGTAAGCTACTCCCTTGCGGATTTGTTGTCGTATCACTACTTGTCTCGGAGACTTAGAAGACGCGTCTACTCTAGTACTTGTCCGATAAAGTATTTGACAGTTAGTGACCTCTCATGTAAATGATTCCATTCTGGAGAGTTCTTGATAGTCTTGTCTTAATTCCCTACCACACACTTAATAGATTAACTTGTGTGATTGACTCACTCTGCAGTCGGATTATTTCTAATAATCCTTTTAGAGCACCAATGCAATGTCTCTCACGTTACTATAGGTATGTGTTAGGCAAAGGGTGTTATGTGTTCCATCCCTTAACGTTTTTGTCATTTTATTCATCCCGTTGTCTTTTATACTTTTCCTCATCAACTCGAATTATGAAGCAACTTTTTAGCTTCTATATTAGCGCGAAGGATCAATATTTGTTATTCTTGAGATTTTCTTTGTATAAATGGTTCACTTGGTTCAGTCAAAATTCTATTTAAAAGCCGTTCGTATAAAAGAAAGCTGTAACCCGAGGCAGTTGAATCAATCGACCTCAGCATTCTTTCCCAACTTCTTTTCTGACACATGGTGTTTGAAACAGTGGTTGCTATCTAGTCCCCGTAATTTATACACAAAGTTTTCTTAATTCGTGGTGACCTTTTAGGTTACTTTATAGCCTATGGCATTCTTACTTTTTTGCATTGCCTCGGGGATTGTTCAGAACGAATCGTCTAACATATGCTTATCAAACTTTAGCGTTCGATGCATCTAACGGATCTATTTTGACGAATCGCTCAAGTAAAAGATTATCAACTTCTCTGGGGTCAGTGCTTGCAAAAAATCGATTTACTCATCCTTTCCAAGTGATCACTTGCATGTTAAATTCTCATTGGCAGTTCCTCTCGACTCTCATTTTAAAAAACAAGAGTATATTGTCATTTTTAGGGGTGTTTGCTACAGTTATCTTCTCTCTATCAACTAGACATCGCCGTTCTACAGTTGACTGCTCCAGAGAGCGAAAAGTTTTCCAGAATGTAGGTATTCCCAAGAAACTGTTTTTGGTAAGGGATTCTATTGTGAAAATATAATCGACGACTGGTTCGATGTCTAGATTAATTGCCCAAGTATTGGGGGACTAATATGGGCCACATATTAACTATTTTGGTAACATCCCTCCCTCTGTTTTACCGACTTATTAGTCTTTTTCTCTCAGACTCAGTGCTGCAGAGTTGCAACAACAGGCCTGGGAACAAGAAGAGGAGCGTCGTCGGAAAGCTAACGCTGAGCGCATCGCTCGTGAGGAGGCTGAGAAGGCCGCTTTGGCTGCTGCATTAGCAGAGGAAGAGGCCGCTGCCGCTGGTAATGTGGCAGCTTCCGGCAATGCCAAGTTGACAGCAGCTGCGCGTCGCCAACTGGAAGAGGCTCAACGTGTCCGCCAGCACCAGCTGGCTCGAGAGGCAGCCAAGAAGGAAGCGGAGACGATTTTGGCAAGTTTTAAGTTACCTCCGACTGCCAAGTGGGGTGAAGCAAACAAAAATGTTGCCAGTGCCGCCACCACTTCTATGGCGGACATTCTTGCTTCCCAAATGCAAGAGGAGGAGGTTAGTTTAACATATTTTGTAGCCTAAATGCATTTTTCATCGTTTTTTCCTCGTTTTTAAATGGATTGAGTACTAAAATCAGTCCACTTACTTATATATAGCTATGAAGGGGGGGGGGTATCCATACACTGAATTTTCACTCATCAATTGACTTTGTTAATCAATTTTACACCAGTGTTTTCCTGCTTTTGTATTCTTAATGCTTGTCGTTTGCAGAAATTTTTGGGTGTCGTAGCCTATATTAGGTCTGCTAGCATTTGTTCTCATGAACAGTTTGTTTAAGCCCCAATGAACGGCATTTCAGCCAAACTTTATATGCTCTTTCTTTGCTAATGGTTTACGCTGATTTATTCGTAAATTTGTCTCGATACAACGAGGACACAATCCGCAAGTATTATGTATTTAAATGGTTATTTCATGAGGTTTTATTCTCATCTTTACCTCTTATCTATTTCATATTTTCTACGCTTGAAGCTTGTTTACTCAAGGGCTTTGAAGTTGTGGCGTTGTGTCACTTTTTAAGCAATCATTCAATTACTAGCTGATGGCTGTAAATTGTAATTTAATTATAATTTATTTTGAAACTTAGTCAAGGTGGTGTCTCGATGTATGCGGCAACTTTGCCGTCTTTTGTTCATCGCATTTGTACAAACTTTGAGTGAGGTGTATGTCAGATAATAAGAGCCTAATCAAAATTCTATTTGTTAAATTTATCTAAATATATCTTTATAATTCCTCCTGTTCGCCCTGAATGCAGAAAAGGAATACCATTGCCTATTCCTTTGAACATTTAATCTATGAATATGCGTGCTTGTTGGCGTTTTGAGTTATGAATTTGTGTGATAAGTTATTGGACACGCTTTCTTTGAGCTGGGAAGTATTCTCTTGGGGTTAATATAGAGAAGGGTGTAATGATCATCTTTCAATTTTAATGGAGAAGTGTTTGAAATCTTGCAGATATATTATTTCCTTTAATTTATGTGGAAATTTGGGCTAACTGAAAAAAAAGAATCCTATCTTCACCGTGATAAGAGAATGTGCTCTTTTTGGGTAAATCGCAATTCTGTTGGGCGAGAAGTGAGGCTTCATTTAGACGGCCAATTTTTCCTTACCTCTAAATTGTTTTACGTGAATTGTGACATATATCTTCATGTCGTGTAGCGCTTATCATGGGTTTAATAATTTTCTACACTCTGTTGACGGATTCCTCATTTCAATGCTTTCAAACTCAAAATTAACTAGCATTTAATCTTTTTTGGAATTTCCATTTTAATATTTCACTTTTAGCTTCGAATATATTTAATTTAGCCGTTAGTTTTTAATTTTGCTTGTGAACGGGTTGTAGGTTAATGTAAACTGATTGACAGTTGAAATTTAACATCAATCTTTTCTTCCAGGTTATACGTGTGGTAAATATACTAAATTGTTTTACTAAATCGAGCTTCAATTCGCTTTCATATGCCTATTTTATGCCACTATCAAAATTTATTTCCAACTTTCGTCAATTTCGGTACTTGGGGGCAGGTCACGTCTCGCCAGAAATGAGTCGCAGTTTTTAGCCTTAATGATTCACGGTCAAGTCGCAGCGTTATGCCGTGTATTTACTTTGAGGTTAATTTCATGTGCACACCGACAGTTTAGTAGTAACGAATCAAATGCCATAAATTCACTTTTATGCATATCCTATTTTAGCAATTGCTAAGATCTGTTATTGGTTAAGGGGAATGATACGAGTTTTAGGCTGCGAAACGGATAAACGGTGTTAAGAGAAATCTTAATAAACTTTAATTTGACGGAAGAAAGGTATCTTGGAATTGGTCTTTTGAAGAGATCTTAATTAACCAGTGTGGACGGCTTCATTCACGTTACTCGACGACCAGACGAACCTCGGTTGCATGGCTCAAAACCTTTGAGGCTTGCAAGTTGATTACTTCCCAGAATGTGACTGAGAGCACTTTTGTTGCTTGCTTGGGAATAATTTGATATCTAATTGAAGATACTTTAAATGCCTATTTTTTCCGCTTAATTCAGATGGGTGTGTGAATTAGTTTGAGGTGTGGATAATAAAAACTCCCGGACCCTGTCCTTATTCTTCTTTTTTATTCCTTGAAAACTTCGTATATATTCTTTAATTTTATTTATTTGCAAATAGTGTATGCTGCCAAAAATTTCAGTGACATTTTTCCGTCTTTTCAACAGTTTGAATCAATGAAGCCTAACGCGGGTCATGCAACTTTCGCCTCCAAGGTGGCATCTGGTACCCACGCTCATCAACCAGCACCAAGCAAAACTGCCGGAAAGCCCAAATTCTTCGTGGCTGTTGAACCTCAATCTTCGCCACAGGTGGGAACCAAGCAGCAGCAGCAGCAACCTATGAAACAGGTTAATTTTATTCATCTAGATGTGATCATGCTATTTTTGCTTTCTAACTTATCCAAGCAGTGCTAACTTGCTGGTTTGCTAATATCTCTTTTAGAGCAGTTTGGTTGTAAATTTCAATGTAAGTTTGTGTGGCTTCTCCGCCTACTGCTACCTCTTCTCTTAGTTGTTTTTTTTCGATATAATCCAATCGATTCACTGGAGTTTTTGTCAATTTCGTTTAGTCTTTAGACTCTTCCCCCCTGCTTTACTGCATTAGCACAAAAGAATCGTGAAAATAGGTTGCTTAACAACTTTATCCTGCCTAACAATTTTATGACTATTGCAATTTCGAAAGGTGACACGTTTTATTTAATTGTGGTTTAGATTAGCTTTGTTAAGTTATCAATAAATTAGCAGACTATGCAATTCTACTTCTACTTTGAGGTTTCTAAAACTGTTGTCAAAATACCTGTGATGTTATTTGGAGATGTACTTTTGTCAGCCAATTAACGAATTAAAAGAATGCATAAGCTTAGATTAGTGACCTGTTGAACTATGCTAGCTTTTGAGGCTCTTATTTGGTCTCAGCGTTGTCTCTGATCGGCTGGGATTTATACGAATGAATACTTACAATCTTCACGCCTTTTTATTTGCTATTTCTTTGCTCCGTTAATCTTACCAAGTACCATTCGCTTCTGCATGTTCTTAACTGATAATCGTCGACCTAATCTTACTTCATTTTGTACCTCAGCTTATTCTTCTTTTTATTTTTTGCTTTGCATGTTTATTTATGTTTTCCGATTTAATGTTTTTGTTCCATGCTTTTTTTCCAGCCTCCAAAGTCGTCTCAAAAGGCGCCCCCTCCTGCTGCTGCTTCCAAGGCAAATCAATCTGCAGCTGTAGCACCAAAAGCGTTGAATGTGACTTCAATTTGGAACATGGCTGCTGACACCAACTCTACTGCCAAATCGGCCAACACAAAGAAGGATCGCAAGAAGAAGGTGCTTGCTTGAGCATATTTCTCTAAAATATTTCCCTCATTTGCGCTAGTTCATTCAATCTAGGTAATTAGGCACCAATAGGATCAATGCTACAAATTAAATTAATGCGTTTATTGTTTTGAGAAATGTGCTCTTGTGTTTTGTGTATGTAAGTTATGTTTCAGTTTGAGCAATGTATAGCTATATTAAAAGGCTTATCGCGCTATCGATAGTGGGCTCTTCTGAATAGACATTTTCTTACTTGTTTTTTTCATTGATAATTAATTTAGAATGTTGGATTTATCTGTCTTTCCTCCATGGCTCAGATGCGTTTGATCAATAGATGCTAGATCGTTTGATTAGAAACCTTATTCGATTACTATATCGGTCCAATTATTGAAAGGTTAGGTCAGTTTCATTCTCTTCATGACATTTTATTGTTATGGAAGAATATGATAACTTTTAAGAATAGGATAGTATCTATACACACGAGACGGCAAATTTATTCAACTAAGAAGTCGAATAAAAATGCTTAATTTAAATTCTGAAGGTATTGAGTGATCCACTTTCTCAAAAAGTGGCCTAACTTTTATTGATCCTAAGCCCAAATTGAATGATTTGTTTGGTTGAGTAATTTCATACTTTGTCATAATCGTTTATTTGTGTCGATAAATACGACTAGCAAACTTGATAAACACCTAGCAGGGCTTTCTTGGGCTCTCCCATCATAAATCAGTAACGTGATCTCTGCCACACTAAAGGACGCATTTTCAGTTCTTCCATAGAAGTTGTTTTAGTATTGGTCATTTCGGGGTAATTATTTCTTTTTCTCTATATAGTTTCAATATATTTATTTATTTCAAATGGCAGGCGTTTTGACAGTTATCATAAAAACTTTTAGCTAAATTTGGGCTTCACAGAGGGGAGTGGGACAGAGTAATGATTCACAGATGTAAAAGAGACAGGCACAAAGGCATAGAAAAGGTAAGATGAGTACTGTGAAAGGGGTCGAATATGACACACAATGAGGGGTCTTGGTAGTTTGGAGTCAGAAGTTAACAGTCAGTATATAGACTTTTTTGCCGTATAAGTATACGTTGCCCAGGTTGCATCACGTGGAGGTAAGTCTATCGCACACCCCAGTTTCAATATATAACAGTTGGGAAACAAAACGTGGTGCTAACTCCGTCCTTTCTCTCAGCCCATTTGGTTCTATGAGCTGGCTACCGCGGGACAGCATGTTCTAAATCAATGCTAAAATAGACGAGAGCATGCAATGTTCTGCAGCACATCTCTCTTTCTACAATGCTGAGTTTAAAATCAATGCGTATACAGCAAATTTCGTGCTAGCGGATTACATAATCGGCCTATCAGTAGATTAGAGCTGGCGGGTACTTACTTTTTCACTCTGATGTTGTAGAAGGCCAATCTGCTGACAGGTTCGATCATAACGCTGACTCCGAAGGCAAGGCAGGAGCTGGAGAAGTGGTGTGTGAACAAGCTATCGGCCTTCCAGACCGGAAATGTCGACATTCCTACTCTCATATCTGTACTCTGTGACATGGAGGAAGATCAAGATGTAAGTTTTTAGTTTCACCGACTTATTTACTTCCTTAAGAATATTCTCAGATGCCCGTCTTCCTATTCATAAACTGAAAAAGGATCTTGCTTTATAAAGTGGAGTTCATTGTTGTGAAATAATATTAGAAAAACGAATTGAATGCAGCTTTAGTTTTGTACTATAGTTTAATATGCTGTATGTAGGAAAAGTGCTTATGAATGAATTATGAAGTCAATTTA